AGACCATATTTGACGGTTTAAGATCCTTATCTGTCAACCCCATACGGCGGAATGTATCATAATACAAAATATTGATACTACTTCCCCCATCCATGAGCACTTTAGTAAACTTGTATCCCCCAACTTGAGGGGCTACCACCAGGGCCAAGTGACCCGGATTATCAACCCGGGGTGGGTGATTATCTCTACTCCACAAAATAGGTTGCTCAGACCAGCGTAAATACTGAGGTACTGCCGGCTCAACAGAGTTTACTGCCCTTTTGTGAAGCTTCTGATCACGTTTGCACAAACTAGTAGTGAAGACATGATATTGCCCGATGTTCAGCTGTTTGGGATTGCTCCGATAACCCGACTGCTGCTGCTGCTGCTGACTCCACTGATGGTTGTAACCTCCCTGGTTGCCTTGGTGCCCTTGATTGACGTGTCCGGTTTGGTTGTCTGGAAACCCTGAACCGGAACCACCACTTCCGTAACCCAGCCCGTGGAAGCCTCCTCCTGAACCGCCGGGCGGGCTGTTGTCATATTGGAACATATTGGAATTCTTGAAATCCCGCATGATATAACAGTCCTTCCAAAGATGTGATGTCGGCTTCTCCTTCAATCCATGCTTTGGACAGGGCTGATTTAACAAGCGCTCCAAATTGTTGCCTGAACCTCCACCCCTCTGGGCTGCTTGCCCTTACGGTGTTGGCCATTCTCCTGCGCGTTGGTATTTGCAACAAAGTCCAAGCTGTCGGCCTTGCGCTTACCACCGTTTCCATGGCCTGCCGGATTATGTTGTTGACCTTTGGCATTGCCGTTCTTCTTACCTTTCTCCGGTTTGTCCTCCGCTGAATCCGAATCCTTGGTATTATCTGAATCGGCGTATCTAACCAAAGCGGCCATGAGTGTTGACATGTCATTGCAGTGACGTTTGAGCCTTCCCAACTTCTGTTTTAACGGTTTGAAACGGCAATTGCCCTCTAATGTTAACACTGCAGTGTCTGCATTGATACGATCTGATGAATGCAAAATCGCTGAGACTCGTTTGACCCAATGGGTCGTGGACTCCCCTTCCTCTTGGACACAAGAGGCCTGATCTACGATTGACATCAGCTGCTTACACGTATCCTTGAAGTTCTGGATAAACCGGTGCTTCAATTCGGCCCATGATCCAACAGAGTTGGTCGGCAAGTTCTTCAACCAAGTGCGAGCTGTTCCTTCCAACATCATGGTGAAATATTTAGCACACACTGCCTCATCCACATCTAACATCTCCATTACCATCTCATAGCTTTCCACCCACGCCTTTGGTTGCAAATCGGCGGTGTAATTTGGTACCTTACGATGTCCCTTGAAATCCTTGGGCAGTCTTACATTACGCAAAGTGGGGGTTAAACACGGCACCCCTAAGGAACTGAACATCACTCCTGGCTCCACGGAGGCCATGGGGTGAACCGGAGTATGCTGTCGTGCTCCGTGTCGAGCTGCCAACTCGGCCTCCCGACGTGCGCGGCCATTGTCCACAACATCTTGCGCATTAGCGCCTCCCCCGGCCGGGTTGTTCCCTCGTGGTGAATTTCGGCGATGTGCACTACTGAACACGGCCGGTTCATCCTCCACGTGTCTGCTATAACTTCGGCTTGGACGGGGAGCGGAATGAATCCTCTCACGACTGTGAGAATACGCCTGCTGTTGATTTAGTGTTGTTTGAAGGAGATCCCTAGCCCGACGTGCTTCCACTGCAACTGGTGACTCGCCATCGGTTGGGAGGGCCGCCAGGCGTGAAGCGGCGGCCACAATGTTGTCCAACGGGTTGGAATAATGCCCGGGCGGTGTTGATACATACTGTGGCACAACGTTGTTCTGGCGAGGCGGGTCCGTCGTGCGTGGTTGAACCTGCGCTCCTGTTCCCGGCGCCCCCACCCGGTTTAGTGTGGGTTGGCTACCAGCTCCTGCTCCTGGTGTGTTAAAAAGATTCTGCGGCTCATAAACCGACGGGAGACGTGATCGATACCTTCTTCTCATGACTTCGTGTGAAGCATTCTAACCCAGTCTAATCCGGTAGGCCTGTGCTTCCAATTCAGCCCGCTCTGTAGCCATCCTAGCATTCTCTGTTGCTAGGTCCGCTTTAGTCTGGGCTATCTAATCTTTCACCTTTGCAATCTCCGCATTGTGCGGATCCCTGACTGCTGCATCCACCTCCGCGGTCATCAACGTTGCCGAAGCGTCGAACAAATCAGACAGGACTTGGGCCGGAGGCGGCGCCGAGCTTCCTGCCCCTACTGGTGTGGCCGTTGTTGAACCGGAGAGCATTGCTGCGGCGGTAGATGAATGAGGCGCCGATTGTGTGCCGGCCATGAAGATGGCGGCCCGGTTTGGTAGATCGGGGAATCCGGAATACTGCTGCCCTCGGATCCTCCCTCAATCCGGCCGTCCTGGAACTGGTAAAGTGATTCGGTCTCTCCAGAAGACTCGTCATCAGAACAGACCATGGTCTCTCCATCAGACACCGGTCCGTCCTCGTACCTCGATCCATGGATGACACCCATAAAAACATGCCTTGCCTCGGGCTGAACCGGCGAAGAACTTGCACGCCGAGCCATTTCGATGATGTCAGTGTAGATGTCCGGTTCGCCGATCTTGTCGATGAAAACGTGAATCCCACCAAAGGGGACCCAGTACCCGTATTCGATTGAATCGGCGTTGGGACCCCATCCTGCGTCGTCGATGTAGAGCTTGCCGCGACGACTCTTCGTCATCCGGCCCATAGCGTATCCCTTAAGTCCATCAAAGCTGCCCTTCAAGAACTCAAAACCATCATGCGATAGCCCCACGGTGGGCGCCAACTGTCGTGGGTTTGTCATGGCAGATGTCCTTGTGAAAGGACTTAGTCGTGGAGCCATCGCTACGGGTTAACTTTAAGGGGTTAAACCGGACAAAGGGACACGGGGAATTTTATACTAGTTCGGCCCCTTCGAGGAAGGTAAAAGCCTACGTCTAGTTGTGATTGGTATTGCTAGGGTTTCGAAGGCCAGGGAGCGAATCCGCTTTGTCTGGCTCTCGAGTTGTTGTCTGTCCCTCTGAACCACTGCCGGGTCGTCGCCTTATATACATGGGCGGCGCCCGTCGGTTTACAGAGTCCCAAGACCGGCTCATAAACGTGTCCGGTTCGGTCTCCACTCTTTCTATCTTACAATACAAGTTCCATACAAATACCGGTTCATGGCTACGGGCCTTAAACCGGTTCTGGGCCCTGGACCTTTCCTCTTCTGTCTACATGGGCTTCAAGCATAATTAACTACGGATGAAGTTAACCCAGCCTTTCCTGGCCGGTTTACGCCCAGTAGTAATATCCCCAACAGGTATGGTTCTTAACTAATCTAGCACATTCTAACCATAATTATCAGGAAATTGATGTTGTGCAAATCAATCTTCTTACGTTACTTTTATGGGAAGTTTATGTTGCTAGAATCACAGTTTAGTTAGACAACCAGGATATGTATAACTATCGTTTTTTATAAATGGATGTTAAATGCATCGCTAAATCTCGCAGCATGAACGCACTATACCTTAAAGGCTATATAGTATATTGATAATGTTGTCTTTCTTTCCCCCTTATGTTGCTTGCATTTCATTTATCCTTCTTCACAGCACGTAACCACTCTTCCACAATTACAAAAGTTGAATTTGGCATACTTGTGGGTCCACTAGGTCAGATATGTTATTAGTCAATATAAACCGTAGATTCGGGCCAGCGTAGCTGCAACAATTTACCCCAACGAGTGGTGTTTTGTGCAAAGGTAACGAATAGTTGTGGATTTGTGCAATGACTGCCCGGCTGATTGGTATTTTGTGTGGAAACTCTAAAAAGACTTGTATTTAAAAACGAAGGGAGTAGAAAAATAAAAAACAGATGATGAAGTATTGCTACATCCTCGCCGCTGTTAAATATTACTAGTATTTATTTGCATCAACTTACCATGCATGACGAACACAATTAGGTCTTAAAATATACACCAGCTAGACATTGAATGATCTATAACGCACGTACCGGTATGGAAACAACATAATGCGTGGAATAAAAATGCAATATTCCCGTGGAATATGCCATTCACCACATTAGTGGAGTATTTCACTAGACACAAATCTTGCAGTTATGGCAATATCGTCAATCTCCATTATTCTCTTTCCATAATTTCATTATCTATTTTCTGGAAGATAATTTCTTTCTTTCGCATCCAAGCAAATATTTTATGGCCTATGTAAACTCACCCTTCCTCTATTGCCCATGCACCCTGGCCTCTCCACGACCAAGAGACCAAGGACGTACTGCTTGACTATCTTCACCTTCACGGTAAGGTAACCATGCATGCAAGAACCCAAGCTAGACCTCGTTGCAATCTATCGTGGCCGAAACGTTTATCTTTATCTTTTGATAGGAGTATTTGTCATGTGCATGCCTCTGTAACTTATCCATGAATAAGCTTTCTAATCTGGCCTCCACTTATTTAGTTAATTTTGACGACCATATTTTCTTGGCCTCAATCTAATCTAATTTAGGCGCCACATGGCAATGCGTGGTTAATTCTTCCACTCATTTGATTTTGTTGTCATTCTCTGTCATTGGCATATAGTATAGATCGATCAGATGGGTTATTTTTAATGGAACAGATGAACCCCACGTTAGGATGTTCATTCTCTTGATCATGTAATAGATTGCATTTTGTTGGTTGATCTTATGTTGAGATTCGTGTGGATATTTTATTTTTCTTTTTCTCTTCATGCTTGATTCACTCACTTAGATATGCAATAAGTTGGGCACATCTAGATGTGTCCTAGACATTCCCTCATATTTATCAGTTGGCATTCCTACACATGCATAATAATGTTTTCAACATAATTTAGTATAGATTTTGACTGTTTGTATTTAGCATTCCAACTATTTTGTAAGTCGAATTTATGACCTAATAACTAGGGATATTGGTGGTCTACAGGTACAGAATAGATGAGAGTAAGAGATGGACGTTACTTTTGAGGCCCGGAACGGCTCCTTCACCCTAGAGGTGTGGTACTTTGCGACGGTGAAGCAGATGAAGGAGATGATCTACAAACGCTACCGCCACTTCCCGGTAAAGGCACAGCGGCTTGTCTTCCAGGGCAAGGAGCTTGAAGATGACCGCAATACCGAGCACTACGGTATCATCCAGGGGTCACGCATCCGTCTCGACCTGCCTGAAAGCTTGACCATGTATCCTTTGTGATTTGTGCGTGCGTTTCGTCTTGTCGGCAAGCAAGGAGGAAGGACCAGATCGATACACAGGAATATTATTTAATAACTTCTCGATTTTAGGCATGCATGCATGCATGCAAGTATGTACTCTCTCGTTTTTAAATATAAGACCTTTTGAAGATTGCACTATGAATATGCATTTTGACATATTTTAAAGTATAAATTTACTTATTTTGCTCCGTATCTTACATATTATATTATAATATTAAAAAGTTGATCCTCACTACTATCAATTCTCTCAACACGCAGCCCGGCCACATCATCATCTAGCCACCTCAGCAATTTTCAACCACGTTACTTCATCTCTTCGTTATTTTTTTCTTCTCCTCGCTCACGTAGCATCATTTGCTGGCGTATTCCCCCGATGGTTTTTTACCAGCGGGTCGCTATCTAAAGTCACCATCCACTATGTACTTTCAGTTAATTCCCACTATCCCACATGTTCTATAAGATTAATGAGGAGGCATTTGAGCGGTCGGCCGGTGTAGTTACGTCACCCATATTCAGGAGCCTATCCCTATGGTTCCCTCATCTTCCCTGAATCAGTATATCTCCACATAATTTGCCTTCAAGTCCTCGCCCCGATGTACTTCACGAGCCCGGCTTCTCCCTAGCGGCATCCGTATATGGAGATGTGGCGGTGGCTCGAGGGAATCGGGCGGCGGAGGCCTCGTGACGACAGGGCAGTTCCCTCACCTTACAGAAAATCGAGCATGCTCTTCCTCACTCCCCTGTCGAGACTTGTGGCGGCTACGGAGCGTGGGTAACATCAGCAGCGAATGGAGGGCTGCAGGCTGCAGCACCGGATCGAGGTGAATCCATCTCCGGCATCTCTCTCTCTCTCCCTCTGTGTGTGTGTGTGTTTGTGTGTGTGTGTGTG